GGCGATGTTCTGGCCAGCCCGAGCGAACTATGGGGGATCGTTCCCCCGTCCATGATGTTGCGCTGAACCTGGCGAGCACGACCTAGGCGCCGCTCACCGGGTTACGAGTGCGTGGCGCAGCATGCTGCGCTGAGCGCGCCGACGCAGGTGGTGACTGGTTCTGCCGCCTTTGTCGTAGCTCCTCGTCGTGTTCCTGCGCACATGCGAGGGCCTCCGCACAAGGGTCTAGAGGGGTGTGGGTCTGTAGAGACTTCGCTACCACCGGTGGTTGTCCCGGGACATCCGCCATAGCGCACTCCTAGGACAGAGGGTGGCTAGGTGCCACGACGTCACCGATGCTGGAGCCATCGCTCTCAACATCGTCATCCATGAGGTCATGAAAAGAGGCGGGAGCGTAGCCTACCATCCCCACGAATTCGGATGTGAGAGGGGGAGGCGCCTGCATCTTTCGAAGCCCCCGTGCAGACACGTCTGCGGGGGACTCATGGTCGTAGGGGAACCGGTCGCATGACGATCGCAGCAGGGACAACGAGGTCCCTCCGGAGAGTTGGCGAAAAATATAAGAAAGCGAGTAAAGAACAGCATGTACGTTACTCATAGTGGGGGTTTGAGCCCAGCGTAGGCTCGAAGCGAAGCGCAGGCGCCTCGTTGTTGAGGTCACCGGGTGTCCCGAAGCTCACGGGGTGCGCTCCTCCTCCGACGGGCGCCAGGACAAGTGCCTCCTCGCGAAGGCGAAGGAAGCCGAGCTGGTCGGCGATGAAGTCTAGGCTTCCGAAGAGGAAGGCCTAGGATGGCTCGAAGATGGAAGGAACCCACATCCCAATAGATGGGAGTGCGGAAAACTCCAGCGAGCTAAAGCGAGTCGTATCACTTGAGCCCGCCATGCCGAAGATGGCGGAAAGGTGGGCCATCCGATGACCAAAAGCGTGAACGTACGGCGTCCTTCCCACGTACAGCGCCAACTATCGGTGCGAAAAGTGACCAACACATAAATATTTGTAGTTTTACTATACGTTGTGATCGGATATGGCCTAGCACTCAATGACACATGGTTTATACTGGTTCAGGCAACATGCCCTACGTCCATTTTGAGTCGGTCGGTGACTTTATTCCTGAGCCTAGGTGGTTGAAGTTTGCTGTGGGGTTACAAATGACAGGGAGTAAGATGGGGAGTATCAGAGGTCCGGTCGGACTCTGAACCGAAGGGCCAAGAATGACAGGAGATCCGACGTACGCTAAGTGTTCGAACGTATGCTTTGTTTGGCTTCAGAGTTCTAGAGCCAAGCAGAGAGAATCGGAGTGATCCATTTGTTGTTTGTTGAATCGATCCTCCTCCTTTAGGAGAGAGCGCATCCCCTTTTATAGATGAAGGGGTGGCCTTACAAGAGAGAGAGAGAGGGAGAGTGAGTGTGTGCTACCTAGTCTTGTTGCCCACGCCGTCGGGTACGAGACGGTTTGTCGACGCCTACAATGCTGTTGACGCCCTGATGCATGTGGTTGGTTCCATCATGTTCTTCTGGTATGGCAAATGTCGGCGCCTACCATAATATAGGACAAATGTCGGCGCCAACAACACACTGTTCGTGTTCTGACATGCCTGAAAGGTTATAAGTCCCCTTCTAACATGACCGGACAGTACTGTCCTATAGGTGTGCAGGGTATGGTCCTCGGTACTGCGGTTTGACTTGAGTGCCCTGCCTTACTTGCTCCGCCTGATTTCTCGGGTTCTCACCGAGCGGGCGTCCCCGTTCGGTTGTTCCCAGTCGGCTCCGACCACGGCGGTCAGAGAAGAGCCGTAGGCAGAGGTTTGGCGTGTTCCCGGTCGGAGACGCGGGTCGGAGTCGGAAGCGAGCGTCGCCCTTCCTTGGCCATGCCTCCCGGTCGGAGAGGCGGGCCGGAGTCGAAAGCGAGCGTCGCCCCTCCTTGGCTAGGCCTTCAGTCGGAGAAAGGCAGGTCAGAGTCGGAAGCGTTCCAGTCGGAGACTGGATCACTCTTACATCCTGTCGTTAGGTATCTGGGCCGGCACAGGAGTTACACGTCGTTCGCAACGTCGTCTGCTGGGCCGAGCTCTTGCTGGAAAGCAGGTCCATTATGGACCCTGGGTTTATGAAACCGACACTAATATAATATTAAAAAATCAAATAGACCTCATGCAGGGCGGATGAGAAACCTCAGCCTAATTGACATGGACGGAGGGAAGGGGGGGGCAGGGGGGCACCCCCCAACCTCCCTATTGCCCACTATATAACCCATTAATTAGCTAATAAAAATTACTAATTAATATTGTATTTATTTATCATCTCTTCTTTGTGTTAATCTTTATTGATATCTATATGATTTACGTCTAATATTTATGTTATCTTCTCCCTCTATTTTGTTCTTGTTATTATTGTTGTAGTTTTTCCTACACAATATCTTAGTTGATCTGCATAATATACGAGCAATTAGCTAGTTACGACCTTAATTATTAGTGCTTTATCTTTTCCCTCTCTTTTATTTTAGTTATTACAATGATTTTTTCTATGAATTATATTAGTTAGGTAGAGATCAGAGACTTAGGGCTATTTAATTTTTTCTTTTGCTATAATTTTCAGTATTATTTTAGACTCTTAACTTTCTTTTGTATTGTAAAACAAATATTGATTTGGTTATTATTTATACTCTTGCTAACTCAATATACTTATATGTGTATGTACGCTCGCATATTTTATCATATGTGGTTATCATTGGTAATACCAAAACGGCCCCCTATGGTCAAATCCTGGCTCCGTCCCTGCTAGTCGATGAAATAGCTAGAGCCCTACATTGATCACCTCCTAATCCCCAAGTGTCAGCTGTAGTAGGTGCAATTATCCTCAAAATTCCAGGCTATGTCTCAATTAGGTAAGGTTGTTGTCCTCTAGAAGTCAAAAACGATCGTATAGGTACTTGACCACAAGGGTTAGCAGAGGCAAACCATGGTAATATTATACTTCTCATGCCTGCATTATTCTTCCTAACACTAGGAACTTAGGAATTGAATACTGCTTGTGTTCTTAGCAGGTAAGGTTCCTTGGTGCAGGTTCGGTGCCATGCCAGTATCATTAAGGCCTGGTCTGCTACCTCGCCAAAGACCCTCGAGCTATTCGTGACAGCATTAGAGAAAACTCCAGGTAAAGATCTTGTCGGTAACGATGGCGATTCAACTCTGTATGAAACATCGAGTACAATATCTGCAACTTCAGCACCTCAATTCATATCAAGCTACTGCTGCCTCGCGCTGCCTACTGTAACCTCTAGGAGTTGCTGAGCATGCCGGCACTAAAATAAAAGAAACAAAATTGGATTACCTAAACGCCATTTATTCCCTTTTGGTTTCTTGCAATTAACTTGTCAAGCATTTTTGCTTGCTAAGATAATCCTATGCCATACAGATGTGTCCTCATCCTGATGGGAAAATACGTGAGTTAACGGTGAACCAGAATGGATTAGTATTTACTAAAATCCTTAATGAATGGATTAGAAATCAATTAATCCCTCGACCTGATTTCTGACAGCTAGGAAGCAGTACGTCTATACCTCAATTAGTAAAACACCATAATATACGTGCTAAAGTTGACTATTTTCAAACTGCTTCTTTGATGAAATATCCATGACCATAAACACATACTGAAGCTGTTCCGCTGATGGTTTCTGCGGCTGATAAGCCAGCTAGAGATGATTTGTTGTGAGATAATAACACTGTACCATTGTCTGCAAATAGATTTGTCCGCTAGAAACTAGAATGGCAGGAGGGTCCGGACACCATCAAGCACAAAGGGCACATTTGTGAGCACATGCCAGGGTCTGATACTCTGATTTCAGGGGAGACGACGTCGGCTTGCCTAGCTAAGCGACCACCTGCTCCAGAAGGTTCGCGATGTATTTCTGTTGTAAGTATCATTTAAATTTGCGGGGCTAACACCATAATAAATACTAATGTGATCTATATGGTGTTATAAAACAGAGAACGTTGAGTTGATTTCTTTGACACTGTTTGCCTGGATAAATCAACCCTGCGTATATGATTGCTGTCCCATTACAGCGCACAAACACAAACTTATTAATAATTCCATTCCAGCGACCAGTATATAATAAGTTAAGGCATAATGGAAGAATTGGCAAGATGCATACGCAGATCCAGATGAATGAGAGTCATGGATGCTAGATTGAATGCCTGAGCTAGAGGGCATCACATATTAGACCTTGTTTTGTTGCACTTGAATCTACCTCAATCCACATGTATTTGGGTGGATTAGGGTGGAAAATTAGGTGAATATGAGTCATGAGTACAGTCAAACAAGTCTAATGTTTTTTTTATGCACAGAGGCCACAAAATTCAAGAAGATGCATTGAAATTAAACCACATCAGAAATTATGGCAAAAAAATACTGGACTTCTGTCACGCAACAAATTTGTCTGCAAATGATAGATGTTGCAGCCTAACCATTTTCATTTCAGAAGATTTGAGATTTTGACTCCAGTTACAGATATTCTTGTTCCCCATCCGTTCAGATTTATAACTACACTCAAATACCATAACATATCCGGAAGACTCGCACATCATTTGCATATTCTCTCACTAGCCGAAACAAAATTGATAGGGTGCATATTACATTTAGGGAGAGATGAAATCAGACAACTTTCAGTAACATGAGGGTTTCCGCTCAGCAGAGCAGTACAAAGAATCAGAGTTTCAAAATGAACAACATCCAGGTCATAAGCATATGAATCACAGCATGGTTTAAGAATTGTCAGGTCACACATGCTTGATCAACTACAACTGAGAATGTCACAATGTCTATGTTCCTGGATGCATAGGGACCATAAAAATGCAAAACTAAGACAACCGAATGGACATTTCACTATGAGTACAAATGGAACAAGGCTACAATTGCAAACTTGCATTGTTCTTAAAAATGTTGCTATATAGCCTTACCTCTAACACATAAGCATGATTTCAGAAGACTGAGCTTTGGGCTTCAGTCATTCAGTGCCACGAACCCCAAACGGCCAAACCCTTGAAATTTAATCTTGCCCTCAAATGCCTTAACAACATCAGGCACATCCTTAGCATACCTCAACACATACCTCTGCGAGAAGACCTTAGAATTGGAAAGCAGTGGGGTAATCAAGTTCTGTGTCCGCTCAACCTTACCCTCCCTCATCAACACGCTCAGCACGGCGCACCTTGGCATGATATTCTTCTCCAAGCTCAACGCCAGAGTCAGTGGCTGCGCCATCACATCATCTATCTCAACCTTCAGCACGTCCAGGAAAAACCTGAACTTCTTCTTCATGGTCTCTTCTCCGACGAGCAGTATGGTGGGCTGCGTCTTGAACGCCCTGAGCAGGTCAGCCTCGGACACCCCGAGGCTCTGGAAAAGCGCCACCTTGCGCACCCACGTCTCCCTCCTAAGGCTGCCAATCACGCGGAAGGCGTAGAGGAAGCCCGTATCCGTGACGCGGAAGCCGAGCGCCTTGAGGTCATGGAAGGCCTCGCGGATGCGCTCGGGCGATGTCTTGATCATTCCCATGTGGATCATGAAAAGCTTGGCGATGGCTTCCTTGGAGAGACCCTGGCTGAGGAACGCCTCGACGGCGGGGCGCATGGCGCTGTCGAGGTCGGCCATGAGCGCGCGGGGCACGCGGGAGACGGCGATGCGGATGTTGTCATCGGAACCAAGGATGGTGCGGAGGAACTCGACGCAGGGTACGATGTGTCTGTCGAGGCTGCGCGCGAGGATGTGGGGCTCGGTGCGGAGCAAGCGGGGCTGGATCCCTAGCGATTGGAAGAAGTCGAGCTTGGGGCGAATGGTACGGTCGGGATCGAAGGTGAGCAGCAGCGGTTCTATACGCACCGTGCGGGTGATATCCGCGTCGGAGAAGCCGTACTCGCGCAGGAGGGCCCGAACGGCGTCCGCCCGGGCCGTGTCCCGGATGCGGATCTTGCGAGATGCGGCGACGGCGGGGGAGACACCGCAGGAAACCAGGTAGGAGACCGTGGTGGGGCAGGGCTTGCGGTCGGGCGCAGCCTCGACGGCGGACGAGGAGGAGTAGCTTTGAGAGAGGAGGGCGCGCGCGTGGTTGGAGTGGATGGGGTTCTTGCCGCTGGCGGCGGCGGCGAGGATTGCAGAGGGGGGGATGGTGAGCCGCCGCCGGCACAGGTGTGCAAGCATGTTTTTTTGATCGATGGATTCAGCGTTGATTTGCGACCGTGCTCCTGTTTTTTAGTGGGGTTTAGCAGCATGGCCGTAGAGGACACAGGACCGGGCGTAATTCGTCTCGCGCACACCTTAGCCGCCCAGGCCCAGCTCGCTCCCGCGTACAAACAACCATCGCCGCCCAATCTCAGCTCAGCTCAGCCCCAAAGTTTTAGCCTACGTCGGCCCAAGTGCATCTCAGCTCTTGTATTTTTTTTTCTCAATTGGACAAGTGGACATTGCAAATTTCCCACTGCTTTATTGCGCAAACTTGACACTAGGAAACTGTGAAAATGCAAACTGTCACTGGAGCCCATTCTTCCAAAAAGAGGTGCCAAATTTGCAAATGCCCCACTCTTACAAAACGACTATCTTTTTTTCTAGCAATAGAAACCCCTCCTCATGACGACTATGCTCCTCCGAGTCAACTTAAGGAAACTGAAGAAAATATCAAGGTTGTCCTCTTTCTAGGCCGTACCTGAGAATTTGAGACCCTTGTGTACAACTTAAGATACCGGTTCTGTTCGTTTGTTGGTTTTAGCTAGAACTTATCAGGCATGGTATAGTGTTTTACTCTCACAACAAACTAGCACCAGCAGGGCTTATCAACTCAGAAACCAACCAACGAACAGACTGACTATATATTGAGTCGTGGCAGTGGCCAAAACATTTTCTTCAAATTGTTACTCCCTCTGTCTAAAAGTATAAGACATACACGTATTTCAAGATTAAAACTTCATTTTTATTAGTAATTAATCTATTTATATGAAAGTTTTGTGCAACAAAAGTGGTTAAATTTAACTCTATAGACCTCGCGGGGTCTAAAAAGGAAGCCGTGTCCACGTCACTTCAATTTTTTTAGCCGTCGAATCTTCGATCGTGCGGCCTAGATCGCTTGGAGCAGATTCTGTCGACAACGGCTTCTCGCGCTTCTCCTTGGCTTCTCTCGCTTCTTCTCTGCTTCCCCCGCTTCTCTTTCGAATCCAGAGAAACAAATATATATCCGAGCTTCCACTTCTCCATCCAGCTTCTCGCCCCCTCCTCTCTCCTCTTTGCTCTCTCTCTCGCTCTCCCCATCTCTCTCCGATGCGGGCAGGCCGACGGCGCGAGCAGGCAGCGGTAGCGGCACCCCCTCTCTCCTCCTCCTCCTCCTCAGCCCTCCCTCGCTTGCCTCTCTCCTCCATTTCTCCCTCCCCTTCCTTTCTCTCCCCTTCCCGTCCGAGGCGGCGGCAGGCGCGACGTGGCGGCGCCCCCTGCGGGCGACGTGCCGGTGCGGGAGGGGCCCCGCTCTCCCTCATCCTCCTCCCCATGTCCACGTCAGTTCAATTTTTTAGCCGTCAGATCTTCGATCGTGCGGCCTAGATCGCTTGGAGCAGATTCTGTCGACAGCGGCTTCTCGCGCTTCTCCTCGGCTTCTCCGCTTCTTCTTCTCTGCTTTCCCTGCTTCTCTTTCTAATCCAAAGAAGCAAATATATATCCCAGCTTCCACTTCTCGGGATAATTAACTTTTTACCATCATAATGGATGGCCACTCCTCAGATAGCATGTTTAGAATTGACGCTACGATTTTAGCAGCTGAGAGAGAAAAACGATACATTTTTACCACAATTACTGGCGTGGCATGCCACCTCAGCTGGCTAGCGTGGCAGGCGAAGGGAAAATGACCGCCCCTGCCCCTACCCTCTCTATCACTCCCCACGTGCGGCCCGGCCCACTCCAGCTCGCCCTTCCGCTCCTCCTTTTCTTTCTTTCTCTCCGCTCTCTGCCACGACGCCACCCACCCAACGCCACCAACTTCTGTCAGCCCCCACCATGCGAGCCATGTCCCAAGACATGTCCAGCTCCTCCATGGGAAGGGGCAGGAGTAAGGCTGCAAGAAGGATCTGGAGCTCCAAAGATCGCCTCCATGACCATGGATCCGGTTGGTGAGCTTAGTGGCTTCCCACTGATCATGTGCCCGGACTGCGGTATTGCTAGGGTGGTGGAGGGGCGGACAAAGAAAGACAGCGAAAACCACGGCCGTCTGTACTTCAAATGCGCGAGGAACGGGGTGAGTTCTGTATAATCTCATCTATTCCCCCTCGCTGGCATTTAGGGCTCTAAATCTCCCTCTAATCCTAGTTGATATTTCCAGTACCCAAAGCTTTGTGGATACTACCGATTCGAGAAGGAATATTTTTAGGATTTGCAGCGTAACGGCATTATCCTGGTTCAGTCGTCGAACTGGGAAGAGATGAACATGTCACAGGAAGAGGAAGTTGACAGTCCAAATGGTGACAAGAAGGGTGACAAGAAGGGAAAGAATTGGAGGAGAAGATGGAGTCACTGATTTGGCAGATGAACATGTTCATTGCCTGTGTTGTATGCTTTGTAGTTGGATGTGTCCTGATGTATGTTGTTAGGAAGTGACAATGTAGGCATGTTTACTGATGTATGGCTGCTGCAATGGGGATGTAATGAAGTGACAATGCATGAATGAATGGCAATGAAAAATGTGTTTGAATGAAAATAAAATGTCTGGTTTCATGCATCTGTGTTTAGATTTTGGCCATATCAAATCCAGCATAGCAGTTCACAATAGGCAGATAGCATGAACCAAATAAGCTCAAACACAGTGATCAGAAGGTCTTAGTCACACAAAAGAGACAATTTTTGGGCCTTTACAACCAAAATGAACATGTCACAGATGTTGCTCTCATTTCTTCCCCTTTTTGGCTGGGCTCTTCCTCACCTTTGTAGCTAGCTGCTTCTTCCTTAGAGCCATTTTCTTAGGTTGCATGTCCACAGAAGCACTTGCTGTTTCATCGACCTCATTCAGCACCTGTAGATCCCAGCAAAGGTTCCTATTTAAAGGACATACCAAGTGTTAGATGATATTCATAAATATGCAATTTTATAAGTAGGGCATACCTTCTAGTTGCTGCATTGGTTGAGGGTGGTGCATGTTGAACCTCAATTAGAGCCACATCTAGGACTTCTCTCTCTGCAGCTGCTGCAGCTTCAGCTGCAACAGAAGCTTTAGCTGCAGCTTCCTGAGCCTTCACCTATAGTGACCCTAGATGCATATCTACGTGAAGAACTAGCATTACCAGAGGTTGCATGTTTATTGACAACATAAACTACAAGAAAAGCAACCCTTTGTGCCCATCTATCCTTCACCAACTGCTGAAAATGTTCATCCATTCTCACTTTCCATTCGGAACCTACACTTTCATTGTCAAGTACCCACACTGATAGAGTTTGTGATGGCCCCCATATGATCTTTGTGGACATGTCATTATGAAATTTCTCAAGAGTATACTGCCCAGTTCTGTCCAACCACAACTCATGCTCTTGCTCGGCCATTTCTACTACCCCATACTCCCCATCGGCGATATAATTAGAAACCTTAACAACTAGCCTAAAGCGTTGCCAGGATCAATCCTGACATAATGCATCAACAAGAAATAAATGAAGAGTTAGAGTACATCCTACACTGCATAGCTAGCGTACAATGGGAGGGACTGATTTAGCTTACCAAACGAGACAACCACTCCAATCCATTGTTTGAAGAATCCAATGCACAACGGCCTGAGAAACAGAGAAGCCTAAAAACCAAATCAAATCAACAAACCCTAACCCTAACCCCAAAATCAAATGGCAAATGCGGACCTGGGAGAGAGGGCCTCGAAGGCACGTACCTTCACTCCAACGCCAAGGTGCTCGGGGAGGACATGGCTGGCGGTGGGGGCGGCGTTGGGCGCGGCGGGGTGTGCGGCGGCGTTGGGTGGCGGCGTCGGCGAGCAGAGCGGGAGGAAGAAGAAAGGAGGAGCGGAAGGGCGAGCTAGAGTGGGCCGGGCCACGCGTGGGGAGGGATAGAGAGGGCAGGGGTAGGGGCAATCATTTTCTCTTCGCCTACCACGCTGGCCAGCTGAGTAGGCGTGCCACGCCAACAATTGTGATAAAAATGTATCGTTTTTCTCTCTCAGCTACGAAAATCGCAGCATCAATTCTAAACCTGCTATTCGAGAGTGGCCATCCGTTACGATGGTAAAAAGTTAAATATCCCCCACTTCTCCATCCAGCTTCTCGCCCCCTCCTCTCTCTCTCTCTCCTCTTCGCTCTCTCTCGCTCTCTCCGACGCGGGCAGGCCGACGGCGCGAGCGGGCTGCGGTGGCGGCGCCCCCTCTCCTCCTCCTCCTCAGCCCTCCCTCGCCTGCCTCTCTCCTCCGTTTCTCCCTCCCGTTCCTCTCTCTCTCTCTCCCCTTCCCGTCCGAGTCGGCGGCAGGCGCGACGCGGCGGCCCCCCCTGCGGGCGGCGCGCCGGCGCGGGAGGGGCCCCGCGGTCCCCTCCCTCTCCCCCATCCTCCGCGCGCGGGCTCCTCAACGCCTCCTCCCGCCAGGGAACGTGTGCTCCTCTGGTTGCCGAAACCCTAGCTACGTATACGCGTGCTGCAAATGGGTTACTACATGCTTGCTACCTCTTCTGATCTGGTTTCGTTTTTGTTTTTCCGGATTGATTTCAGCTTCCTTGCTTCTCTTCCTTTGGGTTACGATTGTACAGGTACAAAGGAAGGGAGTTTCATTGTGTTGCTGTTGTAGTCTTTTCAGCATATACACGCATATGCCTATGCTGCTGATTTATTTATTTTATACTGAGCATATGCCATTGCTGATGATGTAGCTATTCCAATTTCAGCGTATGACAATGTCTATGAGGTGCACCCGATAAACCTGACCATATTTCCATGCCATTGCTATTTTGCATTTTCTGTTCACCATATTTCAATGCCATTGATGCTGGAAAAAAATATCTTTTTTCTGAGATATGGCATATGAGAATATGCAATTATGACTATCACTCTTTTATGATCCCTATGTTATGATGAGGACTTAGTCCTTTATGATATTTCTATTCGACTTCTTAATTGAGGCATTTGGCCTATGAAACGATATGAACATTACATATATATAGTCCTTTTTTTAATTCTTAATAAT